TTCACCTCTATTTCTGGGTTCCAAAGGCCTGTTTGCATCGTCTTCCATCAGTAAGAGGAACCCCTAATTTGAATTGAAATTGAAGTGCCTTCAACACATTGCAGATCATCTTTCCCCTAAGAACGTTAGGATAAATATTACGCACGAACATTGCGTTAGTAATTTGCTGGTGAGCGTGTATTAAGTGGTCATCCCGTCACGAATACTCATTAGACAGTATATTGCTATAAGCAAAAGCGAAGATCCTGTCAAGAGAGCGCATCAATTTTCTCAGATTGTTAAAATCCATTAAGATCTCCACCCGGAGAGCAGATATAAAAACCGAAAAAAGGCAGATGGTGTGAAGGCAAACACAACGAACAGGTACGTATTTCAAGATTTTAATTTATGGTATATTTTCATACACAATACATGCACGCACAAACACGTATGAAATTAAAACTGGAATTTGTTTTCAATATTGTTTCGATTAATTTATCATTTTTCTGATAAGTGCTAAACCTAAATCTTGAATTCTCCAAAACAAAAAACACACGAAAATTTGTTTTTGATTGTCTTCCTTTGTAGATTTGAAGTTACTTAATGGTCAGGTAATCAAACAGTTAAATCTATTTTAAAAAAAGGCCGAATAATGAAGTCAACTTTTCATTTATCAACCTAATGTTTTAAACTCTTTAGTTCGGCTTTCCGATAAAATGAGCGCCCAAAATCCATATTTTTTTAAAACAATATCAAAAGCAAAACGCTGACTGGCAAAACCGTTCTTGCGAAAAAATGCATCCTCAGAACACATCTTTCATACCCTTAACTGAGTTGAAATAAAACAGCTGTTTTTCTTTTGCATTAATCCCTCTCAGTCTAGCCAAGACAAAAACTAACCAGAGATATTATGTATTAGTCTCACCAAATAACAGTTTTATGCTTGGACACAAACTCAAGATTAGGAAAGTTTGTCATCTGAGGAAAGAACCTTTCATGCACGACTCAGATGAGATTAAGATTCCAAATTAAAAATTTTGCATTTTTCTAAAGATTGAACACTCTCCTTTACTAACACAATAGGATTTCTTGGAATAGGAAAAATGGATCAGAAATTTCAGAAAATTCGTCTGCATATCGCAAATTCTCTACAAACGTGGAATCTTAAAATGTTTCATGACGTGATTCAAACCATAATTTTCATTAGCTGTACAGGTTATTTTTTTAAGTTGTTCCCTTTTCTGCAAAAGTTAACATCATTTAAGCGAGGAGTCAGACCGAAAAAGACGATTTTAAATGAAACTAATGATGAAATTGATAAATAAATTGATAAACAAAGCCTTTGTTTATCTATTCATTTAAACAAAAATTGCCTTAAAATTGAATTAAAAGGCCTTCTTGTTTGACTTAAGATGACCAGTACTTATAAACGAATTTTCCGTGATCTTTCAGATAGCAAAATCAAGTCCATAACTGATTCCTGGCTCGCAAGGGTGGAATGCAGTTCGGATATATTAAGTGTACTTTCATCCAGAAAAGGAGGTCTTAGATTACATAAATATTATATAAATATCAGGTGAGTCTCTTCAGGAAAAGATTTTGCAGCCTTTATCATTCTTCATTGACGTAGTTTCACACCTTATAGCTACAAAAAAAAAAACCGTTCAAGCCTTTTAGCTCAACTTGTAATTCACGAAGGAAACTGTTTTCCAAAGAAGACGAACAGCTATGAAAACCGTACTAGTGAATTTTTCGATTAAATTTTTCTAGCAAGAAATTTCTCCTTAAGTACGTCCCTACTAATAGAGGAAGAACTGGTCTCCAGGTAATTACTAACCTTTCCATACTCAAGCGATACCAGTTTGATGTTTCGAAACCTTTTCAAGAGTGTGATTACAGGAGGATATAATCAAATTATATTAGTTGCATTTTGTTCTAAATCCCAGAATTCCGGTGGCTCTCACAGTGTTAAATCGATTTTTCCCTCAGGTTGTGTGGATTCCAGGCTGCTGATAGATGCTTGAATTGGATGGCATGAATGCGTCATGCTGTCTCCCCACACACAACGTGTCTTCTCATGCCAATGAAACAGGCCTTTCGAGTAATAAAATATACGTGTTTTTACCTTTAAGCTATACAGCCAAACTTTTATTGCTGATATTTTCTTTAACTGTGGGTGTGTCAGCGTTTTTCGGAAATGTTCTCATACTTTGTTTTGTTAAGTCGAAGCAAAGGGCAGTGGCCTTTCTTAAGTCATGCTCTTTCCGGAAAAATTTTGATGTCTACATCACAAGCCTTGCTATGTCGGATGCACTTTGCGCAGTTACCGTTCTTCCACTTACTGGAATTCAATTATTTTTTGATGTTTTTGAACGAGGGTGGGGTTGTAAAATCTTTCGCTACTTGGGTATTTTCTTTCCTTCAGTTACCATAAATAATCTGTTGATTGTAAGCTTTGGAAGGTATTTTTCAGCGCGTAAGAAACCACTTATACTGAAACATTCTACTACTAAGAAACTTCTCTACCTAATCTGGTTTTCAACATGGGTTTACGTATTGCTTCCCGTTGCAGCTTTCGAGGGGGTTAAATATGATCTAAATGATACACATTACACTGTAGTTTGCAGGCCTAATGAACACAATGTGCCACTAAGAATAATAACCCTGGCCTTCATGGCTTTTCAATACTTCTTGCCATGCATCGTTATTATTACGATGAGTATATCTTTGATCTTGAATGTACGGTCAAGAATGAAAAGAACTATCGACATTCAACGCGATAACGCTATCAAAGCCATGAAGAGGACTGAAAACAGACGACTAACCATGATATTGGTTTCTGTTATGCTCATGTTTGTCTTTCCCTATGCGCTTTATTTAGGTTACTTAATTTCCAGATATTTTGTTAGATCACAAGATGAAACCTCGAGCTTTGAAACTGATTTTATCATCCGCATAGCGGGTGCACTGTTTGCGTTTTCCAACAGTCTTAGCAATGTGATAATATATCTTGTTCAAATGAAGGATTTTCGGCGATTTCTAAAAAATATGATGACTTCGGATCTTTTTAATTAAAATTTGGGTGTTTCTGTAGCGAAGGTTCGATTTTAGGCCCACAATTGTTTAATCTATACATTAATGACGTTCCTAATGCCTCTGAATTATGAGACCCTCTTCTTTTTGCTGATGACACCAGTATCTAATATTCTCACTCAAATCTAAATTGCTTAGAATCTATACTTAATGATGAACTCCAAAACATTGACGTTTGGCTAAAATGTAACAAGCTTTCAGTTAATGTAAAGAAAACCAACTATATAATTTTTAAACCCAGACAGAAGAAATTTAACTCCAGCATTTCTCTCTCCTTTGGAGGTAAACCCCTACAACAAGCTAATGTAACTAAATTCCTTGGGGTCTATATTGACAATCATCTCACCTGGAAATACCATATCAGCTATGTATGTAAACAAATCGCTAAATCAATAGGTATTATATTTAGGTCTCGCTTTTCCCTATCCTCTGCAACCAAGCTCACTTTGTATTACACCTTAGTTTATCCTTATATCGTCTATTGTAACTCCGTCTGGTCGTCCACATACGTATCTAACTTAAATAGAATTTATTATTTGCAAAAGCGAGCTGTGCGGGCTATCACCAACTCAGACTATCGAGACCACTCTGCCCCTTTATTCTCCAAACTAGGAATTTTAGATATTTTCCAAGTCAATACGTTTGAAATCGCTAAATTTATGTTTTATTTCAAAAATAACTTATTGCCCCCATTGCTTCTCGATCTTTTTGTAAGGAATAGCCAAATTCACAACTATGGTACCAGAACAGCCAGTAATTATCGAACGCATTTGTGCCGTACAAATGTCAAGCAGTTTACAATTCTCTACCAAGGTCCTAAAATTTGGAACTCTCTCCCTATTTCAGTCACTCGTTCGTCAAACTTTCTTAGCTTTAAAGCGAGATTGCAAGAGTTTTTACTTAAATAATCACTGAATTGGCCAAGCCGCACATTCGCAGCACTTTTTCTTTACTTAATTTATTATTNGTTAGTAAGTAAACGCTTACAAAAAGAACTTATCACATACGTTGAAGATCCTAATCCCCATTATGAATAGACTTGGATCCCAATGAAGATGATAACTGTAATCTTCACCTCTATTTCTGGGTCCCAACGGCCTGTTTGTATTGTATTCCGCATACATTGAACGGTCCCTTAGAGTAGAACCACTAAAATGAAACTAAAAATAATCTCTCAGGCAAAATTTATTCCATGCTTATCCCCAGGTGTCAGTATTATTGCCTTGAGTTCAAATGCCCTCAACGCATTGAAGATTATCTTTCCTCCTTAGACCGTTAGGTTAAATATTATCCATGAACATTGCGCAAGCAATTTGCTACTGTATTAAGTAGTTACCTACCCATTTCCTGTAGGAAATAATACAGGTCCGACCGTATATTGCTACAGTAAAGGCGGAGATCCTGTCAAGAGAGCACATCGATATTCCCAGATTGATTCTATACCCGGAGCAGACATAAAAACCGAAGAGAGGCAGAGGGTGTGAAGGCAAACAGAACGGGCAAGTATTTCAAGGTTTTAATTTATGTTACATCTTCATACACAAATGGCAAAGTTGGTAGTTTTCTCATTTTGGCCACTAGTGGCAGTTTTGCCATTTTGGCCACTAGTGGCAGTTTTGGCATTTTGGCCATTAGTGGTAGTTTTGCCATTTCGGCCACTAGTGGCAGTTTTGCTATTTTGGCTACGAGTGGCTGTTTTGCCATTTTGGCCACTAGTGGCAGTTATGCCTATTTGGCCACCAGTGGCAGTTTTGGCTACAAGTGGCCGTTTTGCCATTATGGCCAGTAGTGGCAGTCATCCCAATTTGGCCACTAGCGGCAGTTTTGCCAATTTGGCTACTAACAGCAGTTTTGCCATTTTTTGGTAAACCTTGCTTAGTCCAAAAGTTCTGAGAGAGATACACATATCAAAATAAGGTTTCTACAAATCCTTGTAAGTCCATTCTTGTATTCTGCCCATTCTTGCTACATAGAGAATCTCAATAGACCACAGGAATTTACTGGTAGCTTTTCCTAACACTTTAATAAGCACAAAAAGCAACTGTTAGCAAACAAGTTGCCCATAACATTCACAAAAGCACTTTGAATTATTTTAGAAAGTTGCCCAAAGTAAACAGGCAAGGTTTAGCTTGGAATTCGCTATAAACTGCTTTTTCCAGTAAGGATTCTATGTTGTCTTGGAATAACTGACAATTCTTCTGCTGACAAGAAGAGACATGAGGCAGTGTCAGACTTCAGTGGAGCCCTCAGATGGTTCTTCATTTGGATAAACTAAAACCTAAGAAAGCAAATGTGAACGTTGTATTTTAAGACAAAATTAACACAACTCCATTATCTACCACACATTACAACATTACTACCTTGTAAATATACCCAATCATACTAGCCCTTGGCTTAAATCTACGCTGATAACTCAAACTTAAGTAGACATGCTAGGCAATAAACCTCAAAGTGTCTTATCAGA